GCTTCTATATAACAAAAACGTACATGCATAATGTATAATTTGGCTTAGAAAAGCCATCTCACATTTTCACTAACATCATGTTCCTGTCTCCACCAGAAACTTGGTGTCTTTTGGTTGGCTTCCATTCTGCACAGAATAAGAACTCTGTGACAGGAGTTGTCTTTGTCAGTTTTCTAAACTGCCTGATCACTGAGCAGTATGTTTTCTTGTAGTACTGTACTTTCTTACACAATTTTTAAAAAGAGAAGAAATTCCTACAATGTTAATAGAAGGAATTTGTTTACTTGTTTACAAAACAAGTAAAATGAGAATACTTGTTTCCTCTTGTATTCTTTCCTCTCACTGCTGCTGAAAATATATCATGTATCTTATATATGGTGCGTCTTAATAAGAGATCTCACTCTGTACCTTGTGTTAAAATTAGCTCATCAACAGAAAAGGATAATGTGATTAAGTAGTTTTCAAGATTGAGTGTAAATGATGCAGATGCTACTGGGCATGTTAGTGTGTATGTATGGGTTAAGTTCAATATTTCCTGTATATTCTTAGCACATTCAAGCACATGTAGTCTGACAATATTCTGAAAGTTACTCATGCAATTTAAAGTAGTCTTTTTCAGAACATGTTTGGAATCAGAATGTTTATTTGAAAATTATAAAAACAACAGCAATATAAATTGAAGAGTAAATGAAATCATGGCAACACAGAAAATAATCTAAGCATATATGATGAGCCACACAGTAAAATAAATGCTGAAATCTTAATCATGAGAACAGACAGTGTTAATGAGAAATAAAGGCTGATCTGTCACAGTCAGCCTGATTTAAGGACTTTCAGGGCCATTCAGCTGAAAACATTTTTAGAGCATAATACAATGGAGAGGCCATTATATCAGACTGAACATTTTGCAGAACAGCACTGTTAAGAGATTTGTGATAACTAGATGGCAGACTGGATTAATGTAGTAGACTTACATCCAAATCTCTCCTAGGCCAAGAACAAAAATGAGTGTGGATTGCTAGTATACATAACAGTGGCTGCCACTCTCCCATGAACAATCTTTTGTAACTTAAGACTTAGAAAAAAATCCAGGAAGGCAGTAGAAGGGAGTTTCTCAAGCCATATCTAAAATGCTGAGAGAGTATTTAGTTTAATTAGATCAGTGTTTTCCTTTCTTAAGTGACATTTCCCTTCCTATTTATATTTTCCATTGGATTTTGTCTGTCTGTAAGGTGAATTTGCTGGGAATCTGTGTATGTTTCAGAAGTTTATTTGTCTGCCAGCACTGCTGAAGAGACTTGCACCCATTCTTGTGCTGACTTTAGAGATTACCTTGACTAGCAGCATTTGGGATTAAGACACTGCTTTTATTAATAGTTAATATGTAAAACCTATAACATTTCAAAACTGGACTTCAAAAATTTTAGTGTATGCTGATAAAGTAAGGAATTTTTTTACATTTTTTGTGTACAGACTTCTCTCTTATCAACACTTAGTCTTTCCCTTCATTTGGGAACCATGGTTTTTCACTTGACCCATAGTCCCAACAGTTCTAGAAGCTGGGACACACCGAGGTCTGCAAAAATCAAGATAAGCTGGGAACAGCTCCTTGTGTTCCAAACCAGAGTGAGGCAGATGTGCACACAATGGAAGAGAGAGAGGGGGGATCACAAGTTCTGTAAATAGTTCTGTAAATACCTTCTGGTTAGGGCTTGGATAGAAGATCCATTGTCTGATACTTTACCCAGGTTGTGCAACACACTGAGGTAAAACTTCTGTGGGCATAATTCTGTACTGACTTGGGAGAGGCCTCAAATAGTTCTGTGGGTGTTTTACCTCTCTCTCTGTCCTGTTTCTGTACTACATTAGTCAGCTCAAGGAAGGGGCACCATGAGAAGCACAGGGCACCTCTTGGTGCCAGGACCTGTCTGCTGATGGGGCTGATGGTTATAAAGAGAAAAACTTCAAACACATAAATGAGCAGCAGAATCCCACACATTTTTTCCATGATGTTTGGGTTTTTTTTTTATTTGAATGAGTAGTTTTCCACCCCTTCCTGCAAACAAAGGTGGTTTGGCCTTGATTGTGGCAGTGGGAAAGTAATATTAGGGAGTTTTCCTATTCTGTTATTCACTCTGTGCCCCTTATAGGAAAAGCATGTGCATATTAGGTGGCGGCTAAACATTAACTAAAATATTGCAAAGCTTTCTTTCTCAGGGGGCACGAGTGAGGAGAGATGAAAACTTAAACATCTCTCTGTTCCCGTGGCAGCAGTGTGAACTCATCAGAGCACTTCTTCACTACCAGCAGCACACCTTCTTCCAGTATGGGAAGATACTGGAGGTGGTTTATGCATTTCTAGTTGATTTTAAAGTTTGGATTGCATCCAAACTTTATGTTTTTAGTGTTATTTATGTGCTGTATCATTAAAGGTTCAGTATTGCCTGAAGAGTCAACTTGCAAAAAAGTAAACTTTATCAATGGTGATTCATAAATTATTTGTGTATGTAGACTGATACAGAAGACATCCGGACAAATACTGTATTTGCTGAAAAATTAGAATTTTGAATGATTAAAATTATTTTCAAATTAACACAGTTTTAGGTTAGATTGCATTTTAAGCAAGGCAAAATATTGATTTGCTGCATTCTTATTTCACTAATATTTTCAGACTAAAAAGCTTTTTTTTAGGAAGCTTTTTGTAATTAAATTTTTAGGGATTTTGAAAAATACTGAAATAAAAATGAGAATTTTTGTTGTGCATGAGCTTCTGCTTTCAACTGAAAAATAATGGTCTTTCATTTCACCAGAAAAAAAACCCTTATATTTTCTAAAATAATTATTTTCAGGCTCAGGAGATTTCTGTGGTGTTCTCTAGCTAAATATGGAACTGAAATAGTTTTTAGACAACTCTGATTAATACAATAGCTGGACTAATTAATACAGTAACTAAAATACTGTAGCCTTACACACAAATACCAGGATCACTTTTGTTTCTAAATGTAATGATTTTGATCTTCAATTTCTCCCAATATTTTCAGAAGTGCACAGTTTCTGTCTTCCCATAAAGGCAGATATTCAGCATTTGCAAGTAAACACTGAAAAATCACTTGCTTGATTACACTTGTGGGCCATTAAATATCTGCTTTCATCTCTATAATTCCTCTCTTCTCAAAGCCTAGGCAGTGGGACTCAATCAGCCATGTGTTATCTTTCCCAGATCCCTTTCGGAGCATAGCACAGTGCACAGGAATGCAGTTTGTCAAACGCATTGTGTCTGAAATCCTTTGTTGGGAGAAGTGGAAAGAGATTATAAAATGCCTCAAACCCTTCAATAAGGCCATTCCCAGGTTTCTTGTATCTGTTCAGCCTGACAAAGCCTTCATACCTCACTTTGATGTGTAGGATGGTGTATTATATAGCATATAGAGTGTATTGTATCTCAGAGCAGCATCTGTTGTCCAGGCTGCAGTTTACAGAGAATAACTTACTTGATTATAGTAACTTCTTATGTTTTGGCAAGTTTTTAGGCTCAAGGACAACCCAGAGTGGAATTTAGAAGAAATAAATACATCTGTTGTCTATAATATTGGTTTTCATAGGTGGTGAGATTTAGGACCCTAGTGTATTTTGTAGGAGAGGTGAACAAAAATACCCAATCAGACTGGTGATGTGTGTTTTTCATTACTCTGCTAATACAAACGTCTCAGAGGTAAAGCTGAGCAGTGTGAACAACTTCTTGAAGCTGTTAACTTCTGTCACCCTGAGGCAATCTCTGGCTGACTTTCTGTAGTGTTTCCTTCTCAAAATTCTAGACACAAAAAAAAATTTACTTGCAACAGAATCGCACTGTAGGTTTAAGTTGAACATTATGCACTGGAGTAATTTTGAGAAATTAGCCTGGAATAGGTAGGAGCAGACACATTGGAAAGTGCTACATGAGTTGCAGAGTCCTCCCTGATGTCCCTTACAGGAGTATTTTGAGCAACACACAAGGTTTTCAGCTTAGCTAGCTGAGTTACAATGTGAATTCTCTGCCAGTGTATTCTGAGAGAATTTGTCTCTCCTTTACAGGTCAGATATTCAAGGGGAAGTCTGGGAAGGCTTTGTAATGCAAATCTAGCTAGCCTTCGTTCACACAAGGAATATTAGATGCTGACCCATAAGAACTGAGTTCAAGATTTCTGTGAATATGTGGGATTTGAATGAACCCAATAATGAAAGGCTCTAAGAGTATAAGATGCATTCAGTATCCAAATCACTGACATGGTTTAGAAAGCTAAATTTGTCTCTGTGATAATTAAAAGAAAGCTGGTTGATACTTTTCCTTTGCATAAGCATTAGCAGGAATCCACCCGTGGCACTTGGATGTTTGTTGAACAGCTGGTGTATTTTCCTTAATAGAGTCAAAGAGAAAAGTGGTAGTAGGTTTTCTGGAGATGTGCTGTGTTTATGGTTTGTGTGTTTATGGTGGATGACAGAGAATTGAGTTGTAAAACAAATATCAAAGAAACAGATCCAAGCAAAAGTGCTTGGTTATAATATTTGGCAGATTTTGTCTGTTAGAAAATATTAAGCACATTAACAGACAGATAAAAATGCACCAGACAGTAACAACCATTGAATTTATACAAGAAAAAAATAACAGTGAGATCACTTATTCAGCTCTGAGGGATACACAACTTCCTGTACTATCCTTTAAATCCCTGATATTTGAATGAAAGATTAGAATATAGATACAGAATAGAGAAATCCCAAATTTCTACATGAAACAGAGACAGACAGTAGTGCTCACATTTGCCCCAGAGCATGTTTGTCTTTTATTATGCTGTTTTGTTGACCATATATCTCTTTTCAGCTCTGTTCTTTTGTCTTGTGAAACATGGTCCAGATGAAAAGTAAAAGTAATGGATAAAATTATTGGAGGACTGGATATGCATAATTATTTTGTAATTTTATTTTAATACTAATATTTTCAATTTTTCTTTTCTTTTCCACAGAGGGTATGAACTGTATGAACAAAGATCATGGGTGTGCACACATCTGCCGGGAGACACCCAAAGGTGGGGTTGCCTGTGAATGTAGACCTGGCTTTGAACTTGCCAAAAACCAGAAGGACTGCAAATGTAGGTAGATGAAGATTAAATTTCAGATGCCCCAAAATGTCTTGTTTTCTTCATTGTTATGTTCCAGAAGAAGTTAACTTTGTTTTGGCCAAAAGTGATTTGCAATTTTAGTAATGAGGGGGTTTTTGCTCTATAAGATGCATTAGGGGATGGATAAGAGGGATTGAATAATAAAATATTGGCAGTGGTTCAGTTATCAAAAGGATAACTATTCTACTATCCTGTGAATGGAGAAAATTGAAGGATCAGTTTAATTCAGACTTTCCTTTTAAAGCAATACAAATAAAATATAGTGGATTCTGGCTTGCAGTATTTTGAAGGTCCACAAAGGTGGATGTATCAATGAATTTAATGATAAACCCCACTAGAGCTATCAAATTAAGATTGTCAGTTGCAGTTTTTTTTAAAAGACGGAAATGATTGCCCTTGATTCCACTGCTCACAGTCTAGAATTATTACTTGGAAAGCATGCAGCTGCATCATATATACTGTTCTTTAGAGAACAGCCCAGAGTGGTATATTCTTGAAGCTGGGATGCTAAAGATGCTCATTAGCCCACAAAATTAGAAATTGTTCTGTACAGGTTCAAATAATTGTCCTCAGCATCGTCATCTGAAAGCTTCAGAACTGACTCTTCTGATGGTCTCAGTGAGTCTTAGATCTGAGTCCAATAGCTTGTATTCCTACTTGGTAGCTTTGAGAGAGACAAAAAAAAGTGCAGTGAAACATCATAAAATGTTTGCTGCTTTGCACAGGGAGATGTTCTTTCTTACACTTCATTTTTTTTCTTCCTGAGATCTCCACTATGTAAACACACGTAGATGATATTAGTTCCCAAGTACAAAGTGAAAAGAATCACTTTTGAATGTCATTAAGAAATGCCATAGAGTATTGTAGAGCCTGATTTGTGCTCAATATTAAAAGGCTACATAGGGACAAAAGCAAAAGCACAGAGAAAAATGCCTTTATGGTAATTTTCATCCTCGGTGTTTATTAGAAGTGAATATTGTGTGCTGTTAATTGGAATGCAACATCAGCTACATTGGTGAAGTGTGGGAGGATGTTTACTTATTATGTTGTTATTATTTGTTTCCTCAAATTCTTATATTCTTTGGGAGTTTCAGTAATAGATGATGGCAGAAGGATTAGAGCCTTTTCTGAAACATTATTTCTAAATGTGTCAGGGTTTAATAGAGTAAAAACTTTGATTTATTCTTTGCCCTCTGGTGTTCAAACTGTAGTTGGAAGTATAATGAACTTTTGGTGACAGATTTCTAAAAAGAGACACTGAGTTTTCCAAGGCTGCAGAGTTTACTTTGAAGCACACCAACCTCTAAACCTACAACACATTCTGCAAGTATGATCCAGAGTCTTGTTTAAAATAATTACTTCTCGTCCTTCAAAATACACAGAAGTATAGAGGTGTAGCCAGATAGCCTGGGACAATAATTGAGAGATCACAGCAGGCTATTTATAGAAGCCTAATTCTGAAACCAAATCTCAACTGTTAAAAAAAATAATTTCACAGCTGACCATTTCAGTGGAATTGGCATAAATCCTGACCTGCAGTTTTGCAACTACTCAGTGCAGCTATGTTGAAGAGCTAGACACTTCCCACTTGCCAGCCTGGACTGGGTCTGTAGCCCTGTTTAACAGGGACTGGAAGGGTCTGATACAACCTTGTAAAACCCTGTATCCCTCTCAGTTATTCTGGTTTATCATGGTCCTCCAGGAGTCCATGCCTTTCAGGATTTGTCAGAGCTTGCTGCTCTGTTTTTTTTTTTATATGAGCAAGTGACAGAGAACATCTTAGTACACCTGGTACCTCTCTGGGTGAACTTCTATCAGCCAGTTTACAATTCAGTCAGACCACTAGGAGACGTTTTCAAATTTATTGGCCCAAGGCCTTTAGTAATGATTCAAGTCTTCCTCAAAGGAAGATGTTAAAATAAGTTAGAAAGCAGAAACAGTTGAAGGGCGGCTCCATGCTTTTTATGCAGGCATCACATAATTGTCATTTCATGCTAGTTACATAGTCACATCCCATCTTATCATTTACCTACACATACTGATAAGGCAGTCACTCTTGCTTCATTCAGTGTCCATGATGGTCAGTGCTCATTAAACAGGCTTGTGTTCAGTAGCTTCCTCTCCATAATTTAGAGGATTATTTTTTTTAAATACTGTGCATCATACTTTCCTGCTGCACAGTATTTAAACCTTATTGTGAACATAAAATTTTTCATTTTCTTGAGGATTTTCCCATGATAGTCATTACTGTAATACCAAAGTGCTTTGTAGACATTTGTAATGTATTTTCAAAATACTCTTCTCAAGTTAAAAAGTACTGCTTTTCCCATCTTACAAAGATAAATGAATTTAAAGGTATGAAGTCATTGAGTAGTGATAGGTGATTAACAAGAGCCACACAGAACCCATTTACAGGATGTTATTATGATCCAAGTCAAACACCTGATGGCTCCAGCTGTAGTTGCAAATGCCATAGAGAAGGGACTATATCAGTAACCTGTAATAGAAGAGATTCAAGTGACTTGCCAAGCTCTAAGTAGGAATTCCACAGTGAAGGCAAAAATAGGTTAGCGTTTTTAGGGTTCTTTTCACTGTCTGAACAAGACCATTCTTTCTTGACAGTTCATTTCCAGTTTGCTACTCACTCTGCAGCAGATGAGAAAAGATTCCCAGCTGTTTCCACATCCCTGACTTTCCCCAGCTTCACTAGGCACTAAATGAGAGGAGAATTTTCTGCATTTCTCATTAAGGAGAGTTATCATGACAGAATAGGTCTATGCATAAGATTGCAGCCTTAATGGTTTCTTAGTGTAAATTTTAAGTATGCAATTTCTAGCTGCCCAACATGTTGATAAAACACTGAAGTGTTGAGGCTGAACAAGAGGCCATCTAAAACTACAACAAGCAGAATCACACAGATCCATACGTGATCCCTCAGATGAGCTGCATCCTTTAGATCAAAAACATCAGTAAACTTCAGCTTCTGGAAGTTTACTGCTACTCCCGTAAACTACTTTAATGGCCTCTGGTGTACACAAGCCCAGAGGAAGATTATGCTTTTTCAGTAATTTTTATAGATACATGCTGGCAGCAGAAAGAAGATACTTCAGAGCACTCAATTTGGCTGCAGATTATGTTGAAAAAAACATGGGAATTTACCTCTTCTTTCTACATCTGTATCCATGATAAATACTAAGATCCTGCTCCTCAGCATGATCGCATTAAAAGTTTTTGATAAACTGAAGATTTTTTTCCCCAAATATGAACAAATGGGGACATTTTGTGTTCCTCTCTTTCTTAGCTGGAAGCTTAAAAATAAGAGGAAATCTAAAGCAGATTCACATACCTGCAAGTTGCAACCTGAAAGAGTTATAAACAAGTAAAAGCCGAATCTTTTAATGAAAAATGCTGTGTAACCCTATCTACAGATGTTTCTGTCTGCCACCTTGTATAATAATGATTTAAGTGAGCAGGAAGGCTATTGCAAAGTAATTCTAAAAATCTTGCCTAGTACTTTACAATAAAATTCCAGCCTCCCTATACCAAGGGGCATCTTTTCAGCTCGTCATGACAGTGTCCTCATGCAACAGTTTGCTTTCAGTACAATGATCCCCTGAATGTTAAAAATGTAAAGCCATACTAGAAAAAAATCATGTAAGCAATGTTCTATGCACAGCTTTATCACATAGAGGTGCCCGCCCATATATTTATGTAAATTATGCATTTAATGGGCAATTTAGTTAAGAAACAGTGCCTGGAATGACAATATGCCCATTTGAGAAGCCCATTCTACAAAACACGAAATACCTGTGTCTTGTGACAAGTTCTGTGGCATCTGAGCCATGGTATATATATTTTAGTCCACATGTGGACAGGATCAGGACACCATTGTCTTGGGCAATTTTTTAGGTTACTGAGTAATAAATGCTGGATTAAATAATTGGCCATATGTTTTCAAGTACTTCTTGTCATGGTCATGTAAGATGGAAGAAACCAGAAAGGTTCTATGAAACTTCAGAGAAGCACTGAAAACAGGATTTAGGCTGTAGAGTTAGAATTCTTGTATTTTCTGTCTTACAGGGAGTTTAGAATGGAATATCAATACCTATACTTAGTGGAATATGTAGATTAAAATCTTTGTTGTTCTTAAAGATGTTTCTCTTTCAGACAGTTGTTTCTTATTTTTTCATGATCAAAATGTCATTTCTAGACTAGTCCATATATGTCTCTGGGTGTAAGCACTGGCCCACATGCCAAGCTGTGTCTCAGGACTGTTGGGCTGAGCCTAGTCAAACTGAATAATTGCTGCTGGTTCCAGTGTGGACAGGTGGACAGGTAGGGCCATTATGCCACCTGCCAGGACCTGAAAGGTGTCTGGCCAGCCCAAGACCCTAAGCATTGTAGTCAGTGAAAAGAATTAATTTGGTTTGAAGGCACTTTGAAACCCCAGTGTCAGCCCTAAAGCTCTTTATCCACGTGGAAGAGTGTTGGGAAAACAGACTGGTGATTTGGTTGTCAGCACTGGATGTGTCTCACAGAGTGTGTGTGTCACTTTAGGGCTTCTCTGCTTCTCTGTTGCACAGGGCATTTCTCCCACTAAGGGAAAGAGCCCAGCATTTTGACTGCACTTAAGACACATGCAAATGCTGAAGCACTGTCGAAAGATGGTATTACTCTGGTTTTAAATCTGCCATGTAGGGATAAGTATGTCTGAGTTCTAACAGATATGTGAATATTCTCCTTTGGTTAAAATAAACCAAAACCAAGTCATTATTTTCCATGCCTCTCATTTTAACATGATTTATGATATTTTAAGGTGATCCATGCCTTTACCATGAATTTACCACTTTGCCTCTGTTTGCCTCTTTAATGTCACAGATTCTGAATGAGCACACAGTTGTTTGCATAGCTGCAGAGTCCAAATTTATCAGAAATAGTTCTTAAAGTAACACTTCATGAATTCTCATTACTATTGCTTTAATTCTTTCTGACAAAAATGGAGTAGATCTGGATGTCCATTTGCTTTTAAATAATTATGATTTTCTTCCTCTAAGCAAGAGAAGCTTCCTACTGTGTCACTGCCACAGAATGAGGGCTGGAAGAAAATGAAGTGACATATTTTACAACTCTATTTTGTACCAATTTCACCCGTAGAGCTGTCAAATTTCAAAATGTTGACTCAAGTTCCTCTAAATAAATACATAAATAAATTGTAGTCTAGACGGAAGTTCAAATCCTTCAAAAACATGGTTTACTAATGTTTCTAGGAGACAGGAAAAGGAGCTGACCTACATGTGTATTCATGGGCTGGGTAGAACAGGAACCAGTAACTTTAATATGCAGGGAAGCTGTAAAAGTATGTGATTCTGCAGGATTTGCTATAAATGCCATCAGTCTAGTGCAATTTTTTTCATAGACAAATGTAGTAAGGAAAAGTTCCTTGTATTACATGGGTCAGAGCAAGAGTGTTAAGATATTTTCATCTCTGCTAGCAGAGGTTTTCAGCAAGGAATGCCAAAAATAACCGCTGCAGTCACATTTTTTAAATACATACTTTGTTGCTGATTGCACTTTAAAATCCTCAATAAAAATACTGTTGGCTAGCAATGTATTTAAACATCTGTCATAAACAACACCCTTAAGTTAATTTGTGATTGCACTGCGGTCCAACAAGGATAGAAACTCCAGATAGTCCTAGAGGCATATGGGGTCAAGTAATAAGCATGTCTTAATTGGAAAGGTTTAAGAAAAGAGGATTGACATAGAATTTTGTCTGTTTTGCGTCATAAATAAAAACCAAAATGTTACTGTGTATTGAAGGGAAAGAAATGTTACTTCCTTTGGATGCAAAACAGACTGATTTGCTTCAGCTATTTTTTCATAAAAATAAATTATTTAATAAGCTATAAAAGTGGAGAAGGAGAAAGAATTCCTGAGGGTTGCTTAGGAGGTTTTGTAATGTAATTCCTTGCAGCTTTAGGATTCTCATGATTTGGGGTATATTCCCTCCTCTTGTCTGTTTGGACTGAGCCCAGAATTTCCATTTTCCAGCCTAGTGCACAAACAGGCTACAAAAAGGGAACACGGATCAGGCAGGTTCTCCCCGTATTTCTTACTGCCATTCTTTCCAGTTGGATAAAACAGTGATATTCCTGGAAACTGAGGTGGGAATCCAGGCAGTCTCTCTTCTCAGAGATTATTCTTGCCACCAGGCCCTGAGGCTATTCCCTATCTCTGAACAGCACAAGGGGTTTTATTCCAAGTGTACAGTGGGAAGACCAAGGATGCTTGCACCTGTAGTGGCTTCAGGTGTGCACTCACTTGAGAGGTGGACAATTCCTGTTGTGGTCTTTGCCAGAATTCAGGAACTGAAATTGTAAACTTGTGGTTCCATACTGGCAGGAGGTTTTAATGGGAATTCTGTTGGGTATGCTTTGGTGGGTCTCCCTCAGTTGCTTTTTTTAGAACTGTTCCATCTTAGGCTAAATATTTCAGTGATTACTGAGAGTGGCATGGCTGCTCAGCACTAAGGCATTCACACCAGAGGTGGGATATTTCATTTCTAGTTACTGTGATGGAAAATTCTGGTATACTCCATTTTCAGGAGCTAGAATTAAAACAGGGTCACTGAGCTCAGTGGGAAAATATATGAACTTAACCCTCTTGCATTAGATAAAACCTCAGATTTTAGTTAGACACATGACTTTCAACTTCTGTTAATCATTATCTTGTTTTTACTGTATATTGCATCTTGCTACCCTGCCTCTTTTGTAAATTCTTATCTAGAAGGAAAATTTTGCTAAGACAAATTTGAGAAAGTTCTTTCTGATTACGGGGAGTCAGTGTTTAAATAAATGCAGTCTGCATTTATTACCATAACATTTCAAAACATTTAAGTCCTCTGAAACTAAAAGTATATAACTAAATAATGGCATATTGGATTTCCCCCATATTTGCCAGTATATGTTTACCAATAAAGAACCTAGTCGAAATGAAGACAGTGAATTGAATTCAGAAATCACTCAGATCAGGACTGTTATTCAGCATCAAGGTGTGCAAAGGATGAAAAGACACAGGGGCAAGTGAGAGGCTTTATTATATGGTGCTAGCCAACTTAATATTTTAAATCTGGTTTGTTTTACCTGGCAGAAATTAAATCCATCATGTAACAAAGAAATTAATTTAATCTGATCTATTAATACATGTAACCTTCAAAACTCTACCTAGTCTCACAAAAAATGCTTGCTTTAATGTATGTTTACTACTTTTGCACCAGAGTTCATTTGAATTGCTAAAAACTGTTCTTCACTATATTCCTGGAATTGAAAGTGGCATCTCCAGTGCTTCCTTCCTGGCTGAGGCCAGCACATGGCAGAGCCATAACAACTGTGTATTTGTTGTTGCAGAGAAGAAAAAAGAAACCCAAACATTTCCTGTTTTATTTTTAAACTCATTGCTTTAGTGGAGGCAGCACTTGATATAGTAGATTTCAATACTTTTGTGTTTTTGTTCTTGCTGCTTGGTCTCTGCTCCGTCTCCTGAGAGAATGAAGGGGCAACAAAAGGGAGATGCCACCTATAGACCTGAAACTATACATTTGTATTGGTAGACTGTTAATTTCATCATGGATATGAAGCATGTAGTTTTAGGAAGACATGGAATTGGCTAAGAGTTGCACTAAAGTTATTAACACAAATAGAGTGGGGAAAATGCTTTTATTTTTCTTTCTCCTTTTTCCTTCAGTATGGATTGAGGCTAGGGCATGAGACAGGCAGAAGGGAGGGGGCAGAAGGAAGAAATAGAAATAATTGCAAACATAAATGTTATGTTGCCTTATATATTGGTATGTTACTGCTCTTCTATGTTCTGAAAGGCTCTCAAGACTAATCGGTTTCATTGTCATTTTATTTATATATACATATATACACATTCATATGGGGCTTAACTAGTAACCTGTAACTATGGGAATGGAGGCTGCCAACACACCTGTGATGACACAGATACTGGTCCTGTGTGTGGTTGTCATCAGAAGTATGCCCTGCACTCAGATGGCCGAACCTGCATTGGTGAGTACTTATCGGCAGCATGTTTGATTTTGGGTTGCTCAGAATTTCTGTGCCGCGTGCGTGCGTGTGTGTCCGTGGGCGCGTGTGTGTGTCCCACAGGGGTTCCGTGCTGCCAGCGCTGCCAGAAGGGTGTTCCAGCAGCTCCTGGCTCAGCCAGGCACACAGAGAAGCGTTTCTGCGTGTTCTGTCAAAATGTTTTTTAATGAAGTATCCCTTTGTTACCCGCTTGTAACTTTCATTTCTGTCTGTAATTATTTTTGAAGTAAAAAGGTGTAGAACATTCATCATTTTGAATGGAATTCAGCTCTTCAGTTCACTTTTGTTAGTCAAGACTTCCTTGATTGAGCAAGGTTAGAAAAATTACCTCCATTTCTGAGCTGTTACCAGGGAAAGGGAGTCATCCTTTATGTGCTTTCTTCCCTGGTTCTAAAAACTACAACACTTGTAGTGACTAAGCTTTCATTCAGAATATCAGTAGGAAAAAGCCAGTCAAGACATGTAGTATCTTGGCAGATGCTTTGCAAATATTTATGATTATAAAATGTATAACTTTCTTAACACCACTTCTTTTCACTAAACGTAAAAAAAAATAAATTAAAAAGTGCATTTTTGCATAGTGCAAGCTAACATTTGAAAATTCTTACTCACTCACAGATCAGAACCTGAAATCCATAATGATTTTCATTGGCATTGCAGACATGTTGACTTTTTTTGGTTTGTATAATTTCAAGTTCTTACAAATTCTTAGTCATTTCCTGAGGTTAAAAAAACACAGACACATATTTATCATATTTTCTTTCCTATACTTCAAGACAGAGCATTTGAAACCCATGGAAACCTGTCAGTTACCTTTAGCCAGTCTGTCTTGGTCAGATCCGTGGCATAAAGTTCCATGGCTGCCCAGAGCTTTGCTCACTCCTGAGGGGTTTAATTGCACAAGTTGTGGGGTAGAGTGAGGTTTATGCTGGTGTAGGTAAAGCTGAATGGGGCTCAGGGCTGGGCTCTGCCTTTTTTGTCTGCACAAGGTGTGTCTGAGTGCAGGGGATCACTCAGCCAGTGCCTCTGATAACAGAGAGGGGTCCATCGTACAATCCCTGTCCTGTGGCAGTTCCAGATGTGGAGAACTTGCAAGAGTGAGAGCCTTGAGAGCAGGTTTTATTAAATGGATAATTTATCTTCTATTTATTACTGTTCATTAATTTCCTTGGATTGCTGTTTTATTTTTTCCAGCATGTAAAAATTTTGTTTTAAAAGCTGTGTACATTGCATCTATTTTTTTTTCACTTTTTTTTTCCCCATTCTTGTAATGTAATACATACAACTCCATGTTACATTCCTTGGTCTTGTGATGTAAATCACATATTACTGCCTGTGCTGATTTTCTTCCCTCTAAAATAGTTCTTTCTCTTAGAATACTTCTAAGTTTATATTTATTTTTTACATTTTTATTCCTGCTTTCTGGTGATGGTTCCTGATTGCCTGTCTTGTCTGAAAACTGACGTTTATTAATTATTTACAGAGGAAAAAAAAAAAAAAACTCAAACAAAAGCCTCTATTGCAGCCTGATCCATCTAGAACTTGTTAAAAAACAAAACAAAACAACTTCTTGTTACCACTCAACCATGTAGAGTTGCCACAAACAAAACCTGCCAGCCTCCTCCTCCTCACTTCAGTGATTCCAGTGTTTGCTGTCTTCAGTGGTGTATATATTCCAGGCATCACTGCAAGAATGCAAACTTCTGCAATGCCAGATAAATACTTGTTGACCCTTTGTCTGACATATTTTGTCTTTGTTTGCTTAACCATTTTTTTTTTATGTTTGCTGCATGTGAAAGTCCCCACTTGCATTTTTGTTTTTTGTTTTCGTAATGAGCATTTCCCTGTTCCTACAAATCATTTTATTTACCCAGCTGCTGCTTCTCCATTGCTCTTCTGTATCAGAAATCTTTAATTTTATTTCACCTACTGATCATCTCTTCCCACACTTGTGACTGTTTCTGTGTATTTATAATGAAGCATAATCAAAGTCTTCATTATGTATGAAACTCTTACATGTAGGATGTCAGAAACTACCTTGTAAAGTGACCTCTGATGACATCATCCTGCTCACTGCATGCTAATAAAATTACTAAACCCTCTTCTTGCAACATCTTTCTTAGCGTTGAATGTTTAGCTAGTAGTGTTTCATAGACAAGCAGGCAACCAGCACTGCCCAAACTGATCTTTTCTTGTGTTTGTTTGGTTTGTTGTTTGTTTATTGTTGTTGTTGTTGTTGTTTAATTTGCATGCTGTTGTTTTGTTTCTCAGTGTGTCGATGTGTATGAGGCTATGGTGCATCCGTGCCCATCCATCACCGGACTCTTCTCGCTCTCTCTCTTTGTCTCAGTCTTCTGTCTCCCACCTTCAGATCCTGGTGCCCCCACTAGCCTAGTTTGTCTTTGGCAGTTTGTTTAACTAGCCTTCCTGAATTTTAATTTTCATCATTAACACCTCTCTGGGGCACCCATGTTAGGTGTCTGGTTCTCCAGTAGAAATCCAGCTTCCTCTGTGTGGTTAATTACTTCTGAGTTGACCATTCTTCCTTCTCATCCTCTTTCTTCCTACTTTCCCTAAACACCCTTCAATTTTTCCCTGGGTTCTCAAAGAGAATTAACTCTCTAACAGGGATTTAGTGCTTTCATGCCTTGCTTCTTGGCTTTGGCTGTGCCATGCCAAGAAACTGTCTTAGGCAGCAGAAAATTGGGCTTGTGATTAACCAACTGCTCCATGTTTGTCCCTTACTTGTGTTTTAGAGAAGGATGAGGCTGCAATTGAGAGTTCTGAGTACAATGCCACGTCAGTAGCTGATGTGGACAAGCGGGTGAAACGGCGGCTACTTATGGGTAACACTTTTCTTCCACTTCCTTTGTTGTGCTCTCACTTTTGTCTGTATGTATGTGGGGGGGGTGGTTCTCTTTTGGTATCATTTGGTTTTGGTCTCCTTTGATTTTGGTTTGGTCTAGTTTTTTTTTTTTTTTTAACCTGACTTCTTCTGTGTGGAAAGGTCACCAATTTTGTTAAGTTCTCATCTGCTGTACAACTTCATTCCTTGTTTTTAAACTTTTTTTTTCCTAATGCTGCAGCTTTAATGTTCAATTTTCTCTGCATAGAAAGAAGCTTTTGCCATTAACCTTACTTATCTTATGCAAGCTACTTTTTACATGTGATTTGTGTGTTTGTGTGTGTGTGTTGCTGTAGAATTCCTGAAAAATCTCCTACATAGGTTGCAGACCTATGTATTGACTTAAAAGTGGTAGATGATGATGATGATATAAAGCAATGTTCTGCTACATCTGTGGTGTTAAATGAGAAAGTGTGTTTGCCTAAATAAATTTTTTTGTTCTTTTGATTGAAATGCAAATATTATGACTGGAAATTCATTGATATCCTTTGTGCAGCTATTTTAGTAACCACTGAAAGATCTTTCCTTAGTGACTAGTGAGCTTCTATACATTCTTCTTTCTGAGGCATGGCTTGTTTCTCTCTGTTGTTGGAGCCCGAGAGTGGAAAACAGTAGGAAGTGCACTGAACAGTGAAGATAATTCTTTAGCTTCTGCTCTCAGTTAACCCATTGCACACTCTTATGCTCATCTCCTTCACTTTACATTTCTGGCTGTTAGTGAGGAGGGCCTTTTGGGAATAGAAAGGGTTGAGTGGCTGGGCCTCTGCCAGACTTTGCAAGAGACAAAGAACACAGAGTAGCACAGACTGCTTGGAGGTTTTCAGGTGGTTCATTTCTCTGTATTTTCCACTCTGATGCCCTACTCGCCTCATAAAATTATTTCCACTAGGTTTTGAACATAGTGACCATTGCTGAGATGTCTTGGATCCACTTGCAAGACAGGAATTCATCACCACAGAAGAGATTCTGGCAGGACAAAATTCTGGTCTCTTCCCTCAGGGTTACTGTTTATTTTCTTAAGACTACTGAGTCCTTCACAGACTGTTCTGCTAGCCTTTGGACAGCTCAGATCTGCCCGTCAGCATCCATACCTATCTGGAATGATCACCTCAAGGAGACCAAAGCCTCACTTCGAATATTTAATTGATTGCTGGGCTAATAGTTGCATTAGGTGGAAATATTTATAAATTTTCCATATAATTTGTGTCTTGTTGTCCATGAGAAATAATCTGTTTACCCAGAGGCCAGCAACAACCACTGTGTAGGAAATGGCATAGTGTTATGATTCTGTAATGGTATTAGATGACAAGATTGAGGTAAAATATTTTCCTTCATGTGAAAACCTGGGTATATGTTCCCTTATTTTTAGATTATCCATGTTTGTTATGTTCCTGTTAGTTTGCAGACCTAGCAAGTGACCCATATAGCTTTATTTTTTAATGACATACAATTTTAAATATTTTAATATAACAAAAGCTATGAGACAGCTCATCTTGCTTTATAAATGCGCTGTTAACACTTTTAGCTATAATTTCAGTAGGACCCATAGTCTTACAAGAAGTCAGGAAAATAAATAATCCAAAAGCCCTCTAGACCACTGAAAAACGCAGCCCTCTGGGTCTCAATGGTGAGTTTCCCCAGACACAAATAGTATGTACTCTCTAGAGGTACTGAGCAACATAGTGCACTGTGTTGATGCCTCACCCTCTGAAAAAAATAAATATCCAACCTGAAAATAAGTTCACACTGCTTCCAAGAATCCAGGAAAATAGCATTAAAAAGTTTAGCATTAAAAGGATTAGTAACAGCCTTTTAAATTACAGCACATCTGTAGTTTCCAAGCTGAACATAGACCCTATAAAAAAGCCTAGGGAGATAGTTTAAAATACAGTTTGCAAAATACATTGTTGAATTCTGTCATACCTCCTGTATTAGCAGGTATCAGCTGAGAGATGAGAGTTTCTGGAGATGCTGTGTTTAAACCACTGATTCCTTAGAAAAACATTAACTAGAGAGGAAAAGAAATTTAACTAGTGAGTGAGATTTGACTGGCTGGCTTAATATTTAGGGATTTTTCTACTTGTTTGTTTCTGCTGATTGCTGATGCTCAGAATTTTATTTTTTTTTAATACAGTCGTAGTTACAAAGTGTAGTGGCATTTCCATTAAATTCCATATGTCTTCAGATGTTTTCTAAGCAGCTGTTTTAAGAAGTTCTGGAAGGCTCCTCAGTTTTTCTAAATGGAGTGTGATTTTTGACCCTCCTGCAGGCAGTCTTGGGAGAGTAGGAAATGTAGATGACTTTGGGTAATTTTAGTAATCTGATGAAAGGTGCTTTCAGTTGCAAGTCCTGAGATGATAATTGCTAGTCCACTGTCATTTGCTGCATGCTATCAAAATGACTATGATCTGTATAATCCTTAATGTCAGCTCAGAATAAGCTTGGCAAGATTGCTTTAGAACAGTGTTGCTGTGAGACAAGGCTGCCTATAGCAGTCATTTTGCTGCACAAAGACCGGCCACCTCTGTGTTTCAGATTGGTTCTTACAGGGGGCCTGAGTCCAAGTCATGCTGTAGTCCTGTGACTTGTGCCTAAATCTTAAACAGAGAAAATTAGATAAATACACAGTCTTCATTCCTGTTAGATGCATCCTTATCTAGATCTTATGAGGCAGATGATAAACTGGTCTTCTCCGATGATCAAGAAACTTCCCTTTAGAACTGTCCAAAGATGTCCAGGAATTTTCATCCAGCTTTTTTGTAATGTTTGGACAGACCCTGAGGGCTTCCAGCTGACACTTACTTTCCTGGGTCAGTAAGCTGGATTCAGAGTGAAGAGTGCTTCCATTATGGAGATGGCACTGAATGGCTGTTTCCTGGTCCGTGAATGTTCATAGAGCTCATTTTCCTCTTTTTCACTTCTCCTTGGCCATTGCCATCATGGTGCGGAGGCAGCGCAGCCTTAGTTGTATCCAGGGGTGCTCCTGGAGAGGTTCTGCCTTGGTTCTGTGGTGGCTGCTGTAAACTGGACCTTGAGCCATGAGCATTCTGTAGATGGGGAAGGACATTGATCCTGCAGAAGTACACAGCTCCAAAACCAGAGGTGTACCATCGTCTCTAAGGCACATTGACATTCCCTTTGTTGCAGAACACCTTGCACATGCTACAAAGCAGAAAGGCACAATCAATGTCTTCAGGTCTTCTTAAGCATCTGGTATGGTTCATCTTCCGGTTAGTTGAGCACAGCCTTCAGCTCTTGAAATTATGTTCAAATATCTGTTTTGAATGGTATAACAGAATTTTTTCTGAAAATATTTTGTGTGTTTCTTAGGAGCATCATAGAGACCCTCTCCATTTTCCTTTACCTTCTTTTCCCTGGGAGCCCATTTGCCACGACTGTTCTGTCATAGCAGTATAGCATGGGTCTGCCCTACCTGGTTAGAAGAGTAGACTGGTGCATTTCACGTATTTTTCAGTCTAAATCCAGAATGAGTGTGAATCACAGTATATCTGCCCTGCCTACCTGTATGAGAGTCATTCTAGTATAGGCACACAACTTTAGAAGCACCAGTTAGCCAGTCAACCAGTTAAATTTCCAGTTAACCCTACTAATACACTTATCTTCAAAATACTTTGTCCAGTGTCACATCTTCGGCAATGAAAGTTTCTTTTATTCATGTTTCCATATCTCTTTTTGCTGTTATAGCCCTGAATAGAATTCATAAGTCAAACAGCCCCGTCACAGTCTACAAATGTTAAAATAAATCATCCAACAGCCTGGCACTTTATCATTAAATAAATTGTAAATAATCAAATCTTACGGGCTTATCATTCTCCTTGGCCACTTTCTCCAAAAAGGCTGCAAGATTTTTATAGAACAATTGTTTGTTGATATCCTGAAGCTTTCTTTTAGAAACCTTTATTTAGAACATGATATTCCATTCACAGAAATAGAATTCATGGCATTAGTTATGCCATCGGGCTTCCTCATTGCAAATAAGTCAAGTGCTTACAAAGAGATGACAGACAGCTGGAAACTTCCTCTTTGAGGAGCAAGAACTGTAGAACTGTCTGAAATTTAGACTCTACTCCTCCTCTCGTAGTCAGAGATAATGCTTTGCTATTTGGCTGGTCTTTACCTCAACTCTTTGAACCAAGTAATTTCATGAAGTATTTTTTTATATTCTTTTAAAATTCAGTCATTTGCTACATTGCCATCATCCCAGGCCTTATGAGACTGCATGAATCTGTAAAGTGTTTTAGGCACACAACCATGATGTTTTGTGCAGGCTGTTTGTTAGTTCCTGGCCTCTGGTCAGCTCTTCTTGAAGAGAAAGACTTGACTAATTTCTCACTATATTTCATTTTCCTTCCTCTACTCTTTAGCAGTCAGTGGATCAGGTTCCTTTGGGTTTGACATGAGGTGACTTCAGAACTGCCAACAGTATGCATCTTCTTCACCTTCACTCCCTTTTCCATTCTTCCCTGAGATCACTGTTGTAAGAGCTCACTTTGACCATAAAATGATCTTGCTCTGGCCCTAGAAGATAAAAAGTTGGTCCCTTCTTGCCACAAGAAGAGGGATGTACAAAGTACTTTTGAGTATAGCAAAGAGCAGCAGGACAATGAGCCCATCCTGAAGTTGAGGAATTGTAATAATTTCCCTTGCATGCTTAAGGAAGGCAAAATGGACACCATTGCTAGAGGTGTCTTCAGAAATCCAAACTCTGCACAGAAATTCATTCCTTCACGAGACATATTCAATTAATTTTGTGTCAGGGCAGCTGAGAATTCTGCCATTGGACACCGACTTTTTGGGTCATCAGTAAGGTTATTTGCAACCCACCTCAAAGAGAGTGATGCAATTCTCTTCCCTGGAAGCTGGTTCCTAAGAACCCTCCAAAGTATTCTACTCTCAGCTGAAATGCAGATAAAAGCTGTA